AGAATAAAAGCGGATCGACCGGATATCATGATACACGATAAGAAGCGATGTGAAGTAATCCTGATTGAGGTTCGCATCACTGGTCAAGACAGGTTGATAGCGGTCGAGACCAAAAAGAAGCGAAAGTACGATTTACTGGCTGGTAAACTCGGTGTAGAGATAAAATGCAGGACCAAAATAATTCCGTATGTAATGATTTGAAATGGGATTGTAGCGAACTTTCATAAACGTTACGCGAAAGGAATCAGTGTAACTGAACACGTCGAGGTATAAATCTAGTCGATTGTGTTCAAGAAGACGTTCAGAAGCATCTCAGTCATCGTCGCAGATTCCACTGGGATGAAGCAACGGAAACCAACACAACAAACTTAACAGTTAGAGTCAAAGTGCCGGAACATGATTTAGCGCCAAAATACGGCCAGAAAGGTGATTGACCCCCGTATGATCTTAATTGATACATGTTTATATATGTGCGTGTTTTAAAGTAATACTGAGTGAACAAAAATGTTAACTTTCAGAAACTATTTATTGTACTAATTTTCATTCCAAATTAACAGATTGTGAACCATTCTTATATTTCTAGTGCAAAAAAACCAAAAAAGGACTAGAAAACCTTAAATTTGTGTTACGCGCTTCTAATTTGCATTAAACAGTCTTCTTATAAACAGGCAAATGATATATAAATTTAAATACTACTGCTAATAAATTTTAAGCACCAAGCGTGTGACAAAATAATTTTGTTCTTATTTTTTCCTGTTAAAATATGTGTTGTTATTTTAGGAACAGTAAAGCCCACATCCTAGCTCTCAGTCTCTTTAAACTTCAGATCTGCACATTAATGTTTTGATTGAATCAATATTAAGCAAAGTATAGTACACAAAACCTTTAATAATAACATAACATGCTGATATCAAAGTTATTTGAGTGTTAGATCGTAGTTACTGTAGTTTCACTTAATGAATTCGGTATGCAGTAATGTGTTGCGTCTTCGCAGAATCAGCATCAAAACGGTGACAAAGATGATAAGTGTGAGTGTCAATATAAATAATAACACCATCAAGCGAGCTGCAATTTCAGCAGATTTTTAGAAATTTGCTGAGAAAATAAAAAACTTACAAGAAAATTTTCATATTGAATTTTTTTCATGTTTGTACTGTTTTAATTTTGCTCTTTCATTTTTAGCTTTGATAGTGATTAGTACGTAGAAAACGTATGCCACATTAATTCAGACGTAAATTGCATTAAAAAAACGTAAGTAGGATTTTTGCACTATCAAATGTATTCATCTTCCTCTTGTGTCTCATAATTTTTGCATGCTTTCAAAATTTTCATTTTCAATCGTTTGCGTTTCGAAATCTGTTCGCTTCAGAAAAGTTTGCAATAATTTAACGCTTCTGTATAGTAATGGACTAAAGTTATCACTAATAATGATGTGAAAAGTTTACATACTTGATGAGAGACATTTTGTAGAAATGTCATTTTGATGAGAGAGTGCATTCAAATTCACAGAGTGCATTTCATTGTCAGCTGCAAATAGAATAAATACTTCGTAGTGATTTAAAAAGTAGCAAATGAAAGTTTTTGCTGTCATAACTTACTTTTTTGACAAAAAATTATTTGTAAAATGTTAATAAGATTTACTGGGTGGTAGACCATCTTCTATGCCAAAAACTGTCAGACATTGTTCTGGTAGATCAACATTTGCAACGTATAATATAGGTGACGCAATTATAGATTTATCTGGAATATTTTGTTTTCGCGTAGCTGCAGTCATAAAAGTTTTATTTTTTAGTCATTTATTTTTATATCTGGTTGTAATCATTCACAGTATTTGTCACGTAACTGAGTTCGGAATTCTACAGTTCTGTGCTAATACTAAGGTGGTAAATTATTAACAACGTTCAAAATAACAATAACAATAATAATAGTAGTGACAGTGATAATTTATAATTGAAGATCAAAATGATACAGTATTCACACTTCAGTCATATTTCTATTTAAGTACTTCAGAGTTTCGTTGTAAACAGCAATTAGATTGATTCTCAGTATGTATATGAATATATTTCAATTTTTCTGAAATAAGTGTGGTATAAAAATTTTTTCATTCTCGCTACACCTTACCTGTTTTTCGCTCATTAAAAAAAAAATTATTCGAACTTCGCTTCCTTCTGATTAATCGGTAAGCATTTCCTTCGTCGTATGTAATTGTGGTTCGTTGAGTTGCTGTTTCATAAAGTTCTACTTTTGATGCATAGCCATATTCTTCATTGTTCGCTGTTGATATATCCTTAAGACTTACGATTAAAATTTTTATCATTTTAATCTTATAAAGTTGAATGAACATGTAATCAAATAAAGTGAAGGAATGAAAATTGAAGTGAAAAAAATCGAACGACCAAAACAATATGAAGGGTGTGGATTAATTAAGGTATGAAGGTTTAGCAGTAGTTGCTAAAATTATCAAAAGTTACATGCAGATTCTTGCTTATGCCTACTTAAAATTACCTCATAATTATTTTCTGCAGCGTAGACTACTTCCAAGGGCGGATTGACACCAGGTGGTCCAGAAAATTGACTTGGATGTATTTTTGAATCTCGTTTTGATGCATTTACTCTTTCTATACTATCATAAAGTGACTCGATGCTTTCGCCTTCACTTTTGTAATTTGTTGTATCATTTAGATCTATAATTTACTATTATATTTCAGTACAGTAACGTTTATTTTAACTCAATACTACTACAAACTGAGACAAATAAATCATTACTTAAGTTATTATGCAATTTTTTGGTGCTTTGATAAGCTGTTATTTTCGTCCTGAAATATCATAATTGATAAAAATAGTCTGAAATATCAGCTCATAATTATTTTGAGTTCATTTAAGCCTCGGAATAATAATATGAACGATAAAAAGAATATAGATTTTACTCTTCCTCTGCAACATGCTGCTCATGAGTTTGAGCTGATGGTTCTACTCGTATTTGACCTTCACAAATTGGTCGCTGAAAGATTTTTATTTTTGCTACAAACTCTAAATTAGAAAAAAAATTCTCTTATATCCTATCTTTAAAATATGGATAAAAATTTTAACTGAATTTTTAACGTGAAAAAATTTTCTGAAAATATTGATTGTAAAAGAGTAGTAGTGATACAGCAAGTAACCATATCAGTGCATCCTCTATGACGATCTTTTATAGTTAGTTCTATCTGACAATTGAAGTGAAGAGCTGGGCGATCAGCAAACTTAAAAACATGAGATTCTTGTCCAGCTATAAGATCGTCTCCATATTCGAGATCTAATAATACGTATCTGTCTACCGAACATCTGAAAATTAACCAATAAAATCACATTGATTTTATGAAATTTGATACATTTTTTGTTACTGCTTTGCATTCAACAGATATATTTTTTGATAAATTCTTCAAAAAATTGCTCAAATCACAGAAAACTTACCAAAATTGTGAGTAACAAAAGCTCTATTATATTTTAGCGCTCAATTTGAATTTTATTGATATGAAATGAAGCTCAAAAATGTTCAGCTCTTAGTAGCATTCGTATTCTTATGTCTAAGAAAATTTTGCAATTACTTGTAAATTTACTTCGATAAAAGATATTGCATTTATTGCAGTTATTTAATTTTTACTTATTACTGCTAAATTTTACATTTTTTTAAAATAAGTAATTATTAGCTAAATGAAGCGAAATGAGATTTCAGTTTAATTTTTATTTAGTAAACGTATGCAATTCTAAAAAAATTTTCGAATGCGCACAAACGATGAAATTTATTTCAAAATTATCATAAGACTAAGTTTTTATTTTAAAAAATCGTTCTATTATTATAAGTTAAAATTACTTTTTCTAACTGCATATATGTATAATATAAGTTATTATTTGTAAATTCTTTTTTTTTATTGCTCCAGCAATTACAAGCAAAGTAGTAGCTTGAAAGATGTTTGCTAACAGTGATAAAAAGAAGTAAAAAATAATCACAAATACTTTTGACTATGAAAGTTGAAAGTTATAATGAAAAAATATCTTCTAGAAGAAAAATTTTTTACCCTTTTTTGTTGAGAACTTCTACTACTTCCCCACCTTGTCCATCATTTACAGTACACGTATGAACTCGCATGCAGTATATATCTTCTGCTTTAGCTATACAACTCCAACGGTGATAAATACTATCACCGACCTTTGCATATCGTATTGGAATGCCGGTCGCACTTCCACTCAAAATTTCATATCTAAAAGCGAAGGAAAAAATTTGATCATAAATTCCAAGTATTTTTCAAAGAATAAATAAATAACCAAACTAAATTTATTCAATTAAAAAAAAGAATTAACTGTAGTGACAAAAACCGAGCTTTAATTTATATCTGAGATTTTAAAAATGAATGAATTTGATTAGCTAGAAGAAATTCAAGAGAAATTGAATTTCTATTTAAAAATTTTAAGGTAGAGAAGTAACTTAATTTTTCAAAATTTGTCTTATTTTAAAGAGCGAAGAAAATAATGGTGCAAACATTACATTTTGCTGAAAAGTAGCAAATTACTAGCAGAATAATAACTTGAAATTCAAAAATAATTATTAGTTGCAACCTCTGATAATATTTTAACTTAAATGATTGTTTTGAATTATTTACAAATAGTCTCAATTTATTTTCAAAAATGTTGATTTTTTCACAAAATTTTTGCTGTGACGAAATTATCATTAAGTGAATGTTATATTTTATTTGAAACATGCAAAAATTTACTTGCAGATTGGCATTTGCGTTTGACGAAACAATTCTTGCGTTGTCATCATGCTGCAAAAATGAACAGATGTAGACAAATTATTGATAAAAACCTGCAATTACTTTTAAATCTTACGCCTTAATGTCAATAAAATGAAAAAGTTTTATGATTAATTACCTGATTTCTAATTCCTGTGTAACTGTCCTTGATGATTCCATATAGAAGCAGTTAAGTCGGTATGCTCGATCAACTTTAGTCAAAAATATCTGAATTCTTTTTGTAGAATCAGCATTTAAATCAAGTGCCGAAAGTAAAAATAGATAAAATATTGCAGTGAGAAAAACACAGTGAATTTACAAAAGCAATAATAAAGTTAATACCGGATGAAATGATATTATTACTGTTGTCGTAATTCGAATACCGTTATACTGAAATTAATAAGTTATTTTGTTGTTAATTACATTAATGTGGCCAAAGTCATATATGCATAGCTATTTATCAGTTTTTCTTAAATATCGATTATATAAATTTTTTTTAATTACTGATTTCACGTAAAATACGTAACTATTTTTGTTGTGAGTTACTTTTTTGATTAAAAGATTAAGTAATAAAGTAATTAAAGATATTCAAACTTCTCGTGATCGTCTCAATCCACATTGATCGAACTGTATAGTGAATCTGTGGTTTTGTAGATGATTTCCAATCTTAGAATTATTTCAGAGTAGTAAATTATTTGTTGTGCAATGACATTAATAAAATGTTTGACAGTAAATTTTCAAATAAAATAATAATTCTTAATATTGCCGCTTTTGTTTTCGTACAACATTAAGACGTTTAATTTGTATCAAAAAAAGTGTGCATTATTTTCAAGTTCTTTTTCAAATATTTACTCTCACCTTGATGCAGTTACTTTCTTGGATATAACCTTTCACGAATGTTCGACCAATAAATGGTTTCAACGTTGAAAAAACGACTGATATACTTTCAGAATTACACTCAACGTTTGGATTATCTGACATGGTCTTATACATTATATATTTCTCATTTTTTAACTAATTTATACATTAGTTAATCAAATAAAAGTACCTAAAATTGAGTTATCGATTGCAACACCAACGAATCCTCGGACAATCTAAAATAATTGCAAGCTAGAAATTGCTTTTTTTTAAATTTTATCTTCATGTTTTGGTTTAACGCAGCTTAGCTTAACAGTTCAGTTCGAGCGTAGAAAAATAAATACTGGGAAGCAGCTAAATCATTGATAATGAATAGCTGTTCATCTGAAAATGAGTAAATTTTGCAAAAATTACTGATTGTTACTCATGTATTAGCTGTACCAATCTTTGTAAATACCAAAAAACTCATTACAATTATTAGTTGTTTCTGTTGTAGCTATTATAAGGTTTTAATGCTTTTACCAAATATATAATAACGTCAGTGACAAAGTTACGCTTATTAGTTTTTATTATTGAGGTACTATTATAGATTACAAATCTGCTACTTAGCAGTTCCTTTCAAGAATAAGAGTGTTTGATTTTGAAATAGAACTTTTTTTTGTTGCATATTTTATCAGTACATAAGACTGCATACAATACTTGATAAAGATGAATTATTTGTTGGCATATTGTTTTGACAAATATATCTACTGAAACATTGAATTTCATTGAAAAATTTTTCATACAATATGCCATTGCATATACTTGTCAGAAAAATTTGCTTGAAAATAATTTAGCGAATTCATGAAGGTTAAAAAACTCCCAGTCTTTAATATTTGAGATTAATAAGCTAAATACTAAATAAATCCGTGTAAAATTAATTTCCTTTTTTGTAAAGCTAGAAGCTAAGTTAAGAAGTCCATTTGTAATATTTTTGTTCCATATATATCTAAGCCTAAAAATTTTCAGCCTTGCAACTACCAGAATATATGAATATGTTGCTAAACTGTAATTTCCAATTCATTTTTATTGTTCTTGATGCCTGCAATATTCTTAAAGTAACTGAAAAATTCGTAAAATTTAGACGCATATATTTGATTATATTCACTTTTGCTGTAAAGAAATTAAAAAGAAAAATTTTTCATTTATTTCCAATTATTATTTAAACAAATAAATCTGTTCATTTCGAGTTAAAGCACTATTAATGCACACTTCAAAAACCATTTTTCTTCTTTTTTTCTTTTTTGTCCGTTACTTTTGTAAATACAGCACTAACTATTTGATAATTTGTTTATTGTAACCGGCACTATTTTTGCATTATCAGAGTTCAACTTTCTCTCAATTGTGAATCGGTTCTAAACATTGAACACACGTCTGCCCCAAACACGCATGTATATATATCCGATTATCGTTCATAATCTCATTCATGATGCTAGTTTCATATTATTTGATAAATTTGTGCACACTAAACTTGATGACAATTTTTTTCAATTATATAGAATTATTAATGAATTTTTTAAATGTTTGATAACATACTTATCTAAATTTCTATCTCATAAACTTTACTATCGCTTAAATAACTTAGATTAAATAAATTCCCCTATTTACTGCTGATTAAACCTGCCGTTTACATTTATGATACTTTTATCTGAATATGCAACCTTACATTTTAATAAATCAAAAGTACTCACTGTATGCAAAGTCAAATTTAGACCTAAATATTTTTATGCTTCTTTTGATAACTTTAGCTGAAAAATCAGTATTCATTAGTTTCTAATATTATTCAAAATATGTTTGTAGTGGCAGTTTTGGATATTTTCAGTGAATTGCTTGATTATATTGTCAACTTATTTGAACTAATGTGGTGATTAATAATAATAATAATTAATAATAATAATAATTAATAATAATGATAATAGTAATAAATAATAATAATAATTCCAACAGTAAATACTTGGAGGTTAAAACTTCAAAATAACTGACATTAGCAAAGTTTTGCAGTTTGTTCTCAAGCTAATTATGCTGTCCTTTCCTTTACACTTGTTGATCATTGAATAAAAACTATTCAACATGAAAATAGTACATTAAAGTCTAGAAAACACGCTAGAATCTTTTCTGCTTTTAAAATAGACAGCTATTTGCAGAATTCATTAAGCAACAATACTTACTGACTCTTCAAGCTATTCGCGTTGCCAGACGAAAAATAAAATGTATATATGTTTTAATTTGGTTCCGAAAATTTGTAAATTGTGAATTGAAGACTAATATTCAAAAATATCAAGATAAAACTTGGTGAATACGAAAATTCTATATCTTATAAATAAACTTGTGCCCCAAAACTTTACTTCTTATAAATAAATTTAGATGCTATAATTTTGCAAGCAGAATATTATCGTGCTATATAGTGCTGTACAACAAATTAATTGCAGTTTATTTATGGTTACTGCTTTTGTCCGCTAACCTCAAAAGAAATAATTTTGTTCATTTTTCATTCAATTCAAAGTTGCATAACATTTGTTATTGAAGTCAAGCATTGCTGATAAATTGATAACTTTCTCAACGATCTTTGAAAAAAAATTAGCTGTCATTGCAATTATGTTAAACCTATTACTATTCACAAGTATCTTTTCCAAAATTGAAAAATTTACTCTGTAATACAACACATTTGTAGCAATGAAGTTATGCAGTAAAGTTATACAGCCTTCTATTTAAGAATCTATCTATAAATGTTAGCATGAATAATAACATCGGTATAAATTTGACAGTGCTCTATTTGATTTTTGAAAAGTTGCGATAAAAATTTGAATTGAATAATGATTAACAACGAATAAATTGGGAAAAACTTAAAAAGATGAAAAATTAAAATAATTAGAAAAAGCGACTTTGCAAATATGAAAAATGCGATTTGTTTGTCATTTAATTTTTTTATAATTAAGCAATGCTAGTGACATTAACTTCTGAAAAGTAAATTTGAAAAGGATCCTGATTTAGCTGCATTAGAAAGAAAATTTCATGGTTTTGTCACTTTAATTTACCAGCTTATTAGCAGTCACCTATGATACTGAATCTTTACAAAAAAATTGGTAAAATTTGCATGATTATACCGGTTTTAACAAAAGCAAAAATGAAAACTTTCTTTCTCAGACAAGTTTGTCTTATCGAAAACATATTCTTTTTTGTATTTTTTTTAACTTCAATACTGTGAACTGTTTGAAACCGGCCAAAAAAAACCCTTGTTAAGTAAAAGCTTGTTTTATCTCCTGCAAATAGTGATGCTTCAAAAATAATCGCAGATCATAGTAATAATTCATCAAACAAAATTAAAAATTAAAAAAATAGTTTATTTTTTACGAGTGGATAATTAAAGTTCTATTGGCATAAATTTTACTCCCACTTCTTTCAAAACATTTATTAACAAATTGAAGCTATAAAATGCACTTGAAACGTTGAAAAATAATTAGCTATTTTTAAGCATATATTAACAATTATTCACTAAAATAATGATGAAAACAGATTTTTAAGATGCTTACTAAATAAAACAAATAGAATATACAACTCAAATTTCAAGTAAAACTCAGCAAAATTTCAATTACGTACCTGCAAAAGTATAAAGAGCAAAGCTGTTATTCGTTTAGTATTCATTACCTGAAATAAAATTCAAAATTAGCGACAATTGTTTAAATGAAATAATTGCAGATAATAATGACATTGAATACTGCATTTAGCAAATTAAAATCTAATGTAGTATTTTCAGAAGACAAACAATGGAGTTAAAGCGCTTTAGCAGTGCTGAACTCAAATTCAATCTACTTTAATTTTTCAAGTAATTTTGCTCTGCTATGCAAATGTTAATAGAAATGGATGGGACGTAACAAAAATGGAAGAATAAAATGGAATTCGAAATTAGAATGAATTAAGCAAGCAAGCAAATAGTCAACCTTGAGATTTCCCAAGGTAAAAAAGGTTCCGTTAATTTGAATACAGAATGAAAAATGCAATGCATATTTAGAATATAAAACATGTCTCCACAATAATTAAAATTCGTGAGTGAAGTTTTCATTTTTATTTTAAAAGCGAAAAATGCACATAATTTTAACATTTCCTTCTTTTTACGTAAAAATTTCACTTTTGAATGATTGAAGCTGATCAAAATTACCTGTTACTTAGTTTCCAGGTGAAGAAAAAAACTCAGCTATAAATGGAATGTTTTATAACTGAGGGACCATTTTGGAAGATAAAAAAACATTTAATTTAAAATGAATAATTGTCTCTTTCTGAAAACTATTTCATTGCTAAATACAAAAAAAAAGGACAAAATTTTATTCAAATTTGAGTACTCATTAAAAATTGAACTAAGGCATTAAAATTTTTGCCTCATGCAATATTTTTAATACTTTCTTAGCAAAGTTTTGACTTTAGATTAGTCAATTTCATTCTACTCCATTGAAATTTTAATAATTATGACAGGTATCAAATTTTTAGCTTCAATTTATTTGTTAATCGTGTTCGAAAATAATTAAATTTTAAAATTTCAATAGTTGACTAGCATGTAAAGATGGGATAATGTCATTATAGTATTTTTATTAGACTTTGTTTTAAAATCAACCCAAAGTTAATGGAATTATAATCTTGAACTGAATTTCCAGTTTTATTAAATGAGAAAATAAGACTTGTGCAAAGTGAGAAATAAAATAATAATTAATTGGTAAAATTTGCCTTCAACATCAAATAGTCAAATATGAATCAAAAAATGCATAGAAATATGCTAATACGTAATATTAGAACTATCTTGCAAAAAATTGCCTACACTTTTTCAAGCTTTTAAGCTTTTGTAACATATTTAATCTTCTATATATGTAATAGCCAAAAAATGAAACAAATATTTAGTTTGGAAAGTTTTGAATGCTGTCGATAACAATAATAACGTTTGGTAATAGCATTTGGTTTAAAAGTATAAAATGACTTCAGGCTTAAAATGAAGCGTCTTGAATTCTCTTTCAAATAAATCGGAATCATACAACAATTATGTCACAAGAAACAATTTAAGGAATTAAGAACGATAATTTCTACCACAACCAATCCTTCTTATTTTTTCC